GACCGGTTGAATCCAAGTCAGTGGGCACATATACATCACTACAAAAGCAAGATAGTCAGAGGGATATTTTGTTGATAGGGGTGTTGGGTCCCCTAGACTTGTAAAATCCAGCTCTACAACTTTTACAACTAATATTAATCTGGAAACTGATACCAAGGTTTGTATGAATGATTTTTTCTGTTTGTTTTTAACTTTCTGTCCTCAAATTGAATGGTAGAGAACAAGATTTTGTAGTCTCAACTTGTGCCCAACTGATTGCTTCTGTATGCTTTCTTTTCAATGATAGAATTCAATGCCAGCAGCTGCTGGAGCTGTTGCAGCTGCAGCTGTGGCTGACCAGATGCTGGGTCCCAAGGAGGATAGACATTTAGCAATTATCCTGGTACTTACTAGCATGACTGGTTATCATGAATTTTAATAAGTTTTAGTGATTCTTCATCTATCTTGCTTCCCCCTTTAAGTTAGAGTTTTATGGGTATCTTGGAGTTTGAAAATGACTCAAAAAAAAAAATTATATTTTCCTTTTGTAGTTCATCAAATTAATACATGTGACATTGAACAATTCTAACTTGAGATTCAGCTTTCTCTAGTTTACAATGGGATTGGACTGCTAGTCTTCCTTTTAGGCAGTTCCTTTTCGAAGATTTCTTGTTCTCCTCTTTCGCATCTCCCTAAGTATTTAATAATTTTTGTATAAAAAATACAATGAATAGTTCTAACTCGTTGCTTTTACTTTAGGTGGGTTTGCCAGCTCGAGGTAAAACTTTTACTGCAGCAAAACTTACAAGATACCTTCGTTGGTTAGGTCATGATACCAAGCATTTCAATGTTGGGAAGGTTGCTGACATCTTTGACATGACTCTTCTTTGTACTCGGTAGTCTTTTGCTATGTCAAAATATCTCAGATATGAGAGTGACACACATTTCTATTTGATTGTTACAGTATCGCCGCCTTAAGCATGGAACTAATCAGGTAAACTCAATTTGCATAAAATTTGATTTGGTTACTTATAATTGAAATTTCATCTTCTGAAGTAATTCTTTATGCGTTCTTATAGATATGTTTGCCATTGATTAATTAATAAATTGAAAGAACTTACAATGACATGGGAATGGGCAAAGACTGAACACTAAACCTCTAAGTTAATTAAAGAAGCTCTTGCTATGTCAAAATCATTTGATCTAAAAGGTCATAAAAGCTCTAAGTTATATCTGTTATTTGACTAATTTTTTCACATGATCTATTGTAATTTGGTGGAGCATAAAATTTCCAATGTTGCTCTTTAGTGCTATTGTGAATGGTAGATCATCCGTTTTCCTTTCTGAGTAACTTAATTATTATAACCATACAATTTAACTTGTCATTCATGCTTTCACGAGCAATTCTTAATGCATGTCATATGCTTCGTTGCAGTCTGCTGACTTTTTTCGAGCTGACAATCCTGAAGGCATGGAGGCCCGCAATGAGGTAACTTTTGCCCAGTAGTTTGTTGCTTTGAGATCAAATTCAATGCAGAATATAATGGATAACTTCCATATATTTAGATCTTAATTTATTAGTTACAGTTGAACTTGGAATGGTCATGGTCCATGATTTTTTTTTTTTTTTTAAAACATCATGTTAGTGCTTCTATGATTGTTTATGATTTTTTTTAACATCTCTTGCTTTTTGATGAATGGCAAAAATTTCCGGATTGTAAAAAGTAGAATACAAAATCCTAATGGAAAATTCATGTTGATGGGCATCAAGTATAACGTATTCTTATTAAGGCTATGTTACCCTGCTCAAACTTGCTTCAAGCATTTGCTTTGGCATGGATGATTCTGGCATTGTACCATGTCCCTTTTTTTCTTTTGCGATTGCATTGTACCACGTCCTTTCCCTGTGCATAGTTTTTATGTATATGTGCTACCAGGTAGCAGCTTTGGCATTTGAAGATATGATATCTTGGATGCAAGAAGGTGGCCAGGTAAGCTATTCTTTTGACTTTTTCTACTATTACTTCTTTCCTGTTCTCTCCATCACTTTTGATTTTATTTTAGGTAGGGATATTTGATGCGACAAACAGTACCAAGAAGAGAAGAAACATGCTGATGAAATTGGCTGAAGGAAGATGCAAGGTACTGCAGTCACAAATGGACTTTGTTAAGAATTATCATATGAAATTTATACAGATAATCTTGATCTCTTCTGATGCATCTTTGCGTTTTTCTTGTAGATTATATTTCTGGAAACAATATGCAATGATGTAAACATAATAGAAAGAAATATACGTCTTAAAATTCAGCAAAGTCCTGACTATGCAGAAGAGTAAAATTTCTCTTAAAAACAGTGATATCTTCGTCTTGATTGCCATGAAATTACACCTAATTAATGTACTTTTGCAGGACAGATTTCGAAGCAGGGATAGAAGACTTTAAAACCGTCTGGCCAATTATGAGAAGGCAAGTCTTTTGAATGCACTTTTATTAATTCTTAGAGAACTTTTCCTCATATAATTTAGATTTTTCATCGTCAGGTTTATGAACCTGTAGAAGAAGGATCTTACATTAAAATGATTGATATGGTCAGTGGGCATGGTGGGCATATACAAGTAAGATTAATTTTTCTTTCTGTTTTGAATCATATGCGTTGAACGTAGCCCTTTTATATTGCTGATTGTCAGGTCATCCTGTACCACAATTTGCCGGTAAACATTTGTGTTCATATGGAGGCTGTACTTAAATAACTGGAATGTAATAGTAGAATGAAGAAATGAATTTAGGGGCTTCAACTTGAGCTCTGCTCCACACATCAAGACAATTTGTTATAATTTCTCTCTTTTGATGTAGGTGAACAATATCAGTGGCTACCTTCCTGGTCGGATTGTTTTCTTCTTGGTAAGTTCTTTCAAGAATGTGTTTGAATATCATCTATGGGTGTTTGGTTTGTGAACCTTTTTTAATTCCTAGAAAATAGCAGAAATGTTTTGTAGAATCTTATAAGGAAACAACATGTCAAGGAATGTAAGCAACAGCTACAGAACCCCTTATTTTCATTTCTATTGGGGTGAGGTGGAAATGTTGGATTTTCATTAGTCAGAAATATTTGAAACGTTAGAAGATTATTTTGTCCACCCTTATCTTAATAAACCCCCATAAAACTAATAAATGAAATTTCTTATTATCCTTAATATCTATGATGGATAATATAGGTTTTTTAACAACTTGTGAAGCTGTGCTCGATAACTTGACATTTATTCAAGGGTTAAAGTATAATTTTGCCCTAAAAATATTTTCAAAGAAGCTATGGGCACCATAGAAAAATTGTGAAGCAATGCAGCACATAATTTTTCAAAACTGGTGTAATGTTGCCTTTTTTAACAGCCAACCTTGAGGTTAACATTGGGACTCAATGTTGACTACTAAAAAAGGGCTACATTGCACTAGTTTTGAAAGATTATGTGCTGCATTGCTCTGCAATTTTCTTTAGGGTGCCCATAGCTTTTCCAGTAATACTTTCGGAGTAAAAATTCAGTTTAACTTTTTATTTATGAACCATGCTCACCTCTTACTGTGAACCTTCGTTCGTCTATTGCAGGTTAATACCCACCTCACACCACGCCCCATATTACTTACTAGGCATGGAGAAAGTCAGGACAATGTAAGAGGAAGAATTGGTGGAGATACTGCAGTGAGGTATTTGCTTGACGTGTCCAGTACCATTCTGTCTTTGTAAAAGCTTTTAGAAAGGAAGTAGTATGAATGGATTTTGAAAACCTAGTTGCCAGTTTTGTTTCATTACTGGTTATTCTCGAAGGTGGAGTCAAATTATTGAATGCTATGCCGTCAAATTGTTGTTTTCTCATCCCTTCCCTTAATATTGACTGCTCATGTCCTCTCTTTTACTTGACGGCTTTGCAAGAACTCCAAACAGGGTTAGTATTGCTTATTTTCACTTGTGGACTAAGTTCCGAAGAAAGAGAGCTTAATTATTTGCAGCAAGCTATTTATCTACTGCGCTTGGTACGAAATAGTTAAATAGTTTGAGAGCTATAATACATTCAAAAAAGACCTTCCATTTGGAAGTTTAAACACCTATTTCTTTGGAAAAAAGACAAACTATAGAATGATAAAATGATAACGCAAAGGAGCAAGTGCTAGAGTGGATGCTTTTGATTTAGATGGGATTAAACGGTAGGGGTTCATGTGTGCAAGTCAGGATGGTAGAGGGCTGTGGGAGAAAGATGAGAGAGAGAGAGAGGAGTAGGAGAGAGAAGGAAAGAAAAAAACGAGAGAGAGAAAAATGCACTGTTATTCAGAGTATTAACACAAGTCATCGTAATTGATAGCTACCCTTATTTATAGATTAGGGTTAACGGCTATATTTAACTAACTATTCTTTGTATTGGCTTAACTACCCTAACGGCTATCATTCATTATTTACGAGTCAAATATCACAGGACTTGCTTGCAATATGGGTTACTTCTGTATTTTTTTATTTTATAGAGGTAGAGGAAAAATACAAGAAAGGAGGTCCAGGAATCATCCCGCAACTGAAAAAACCTCTGAAAAGAGAAATATTTACATTCACTAAAAATAATCCTCACGTTTCTTGCTAAATCTGATAGAGAAAAACCCCTGAAATTACTGAACCTTCAACCGGGGCCACTACAGTTAGGTTGGACCTGTTAGTCTGGTTAGAGTTGGAGAGCCTGACAAGGTAGATTTTCAAATACCAAATATGGAAGCTACGGAGTTAACCATTGCATGTTCCTTAATGCAAATGGACAACGGATGAACTAGAGCACCATAAAATAGGACCAAGCTTAGTGCGTGAAAGTCTGATCAATGTCCATGCGTTTGAGACAACTGTGTTGGAGTTTAGGAGGGAGGTTTGAGAAGAGGCATACTTGTATGGTTGTCTAAACAATTACTAGTGGTCTGGGGACATACTACCTTCGTACTGACCTAATTTATGATGATTAATAGACATTCATAGGACCTGGATAAGTAAAGTTGCGATCCCAGCGAGATTTCACTCGTCTCTATTGACAAATCCCATAAACAAAGTTCCCTTGTGTTGAATCTTCAAAGCTATTTTTCCGCTCTCATTCTTTTTGGGCCGTTCTTTTACTGCACCATTGATTTCATTGATTCGGTCATTTATTGAAAAGAAAAGGAAAAAGAACAAGCAGCTCCCCTTAAAGCAAGGCTTCATTCAGAAGTTAAAATAGAAGCTTGTCTTGCAAGGGAAAGATGGAGATGGTGAAATAGTTGTAGATCCTTTATCTTCTTTATTTTTTATTAGCAGCAGTTCCTTTATCTTTAAAGTGATGTTTCCTTAATTATCTTACATCTGTTTCTTAGGAAGAAAAGTGCTTTCAAGTTTATAACTGTTAACTAGAAGAAGCTGCATTTTGTTAAAACAGTGAGACTGGACAACTGTACGCAAAGAAGCTTGCCAACTTTGTAGGAAAGCGACTCAAATCAGAACGGGCTGCTTCTGTAAGCTTTTCTTTCTTGGATTCAGTGTCCCCGCGCATGCCCTTTGAAGCCAATGCTATTAAGTTCATACTTGAAAGGATCTAGTGCTTTTCCTTTTTCTGCCAATATTGCATATGAAATTTATGTTGCACTTGGGCTAGCATCATTCCTCAGTTTGAATGTGCACTAACTGAAAGAAGTAGAGTAAGAAGCTGGAAAAACAGGAACCATCCAGCAGCAAATTTGACAATTTTAATTAGAAAACTTTTAATTCAATCCCTCTTCAATTTGACAACCAAAAACCCTTGAATTTTCTAGCATTTGTCTATAACAAAATTCACCATGACCTTGTTCCTTCTCCTAAGTTTTCAATTATTAATGGTAATGATATAGTGATTGCAGGAGATGATGCTATTTCTTTCAAAATCATTCTTACATTCTTAATAGTGCAACTCCTAGCTAGCCTTATTTTATTTAAAACCAAAAATACAAAACCAAGTATTTTACTGAAAAGGTTTTGAGTCGCAAAAACCATTGTAGCCAAAAATAATTAAACATACTTTGCCCGTTTATGCATCTATAGTGAATGTGAATAATGCTGCTACAGCATGTATTTAGTTTTTACAAGAAAGCCCATCTACATAGATAAGACTGGTGTCACTTGTGACAACTATATACCTTATTATAGTGGGAGATTTTCTGGGGGAAACAATAGAAAAATAGAGAAACAAATTCAGAGCAATGTCTATGAAATGAGAATGAACCGGACATATAAGCAAATGTTGGTCTTTTATTATTCATTGTGGAGCTAATAAGTATACATTTCTCGTTCTTAATAATTTATTTATTGAAGAAAAAAACAATTTGACTGCACCCATTGAATCCATATTTGTAATGGTTTGATTGGGTTTGATGAAGTAATGGTTGCCTCCAATGGACTATGGATCATATGCCAGCATTTCATCTAATTAAGCTTGAGGGGGATTATTGGAGGTTTGAACATGAGTTATATACTCGGAATGTTCTATAGCTTGTGGCGAGAATTGCACATTGTATCATTTATGCCTATTGGAATTAGTGTGTATTGTAAATAATGAGGATGACTCTACCACTTGCTACTTGTGTTGAATGGTGACTGTAATTTGGGACTCTTTGTGGCGTGCATGGAAAACAAGTTGCACATGTATAGCATGGTGAGTGACTTTTTTTTTTTTTTTTAACTGATGATCCAGATATGGACTAGCACATTGCAACGAACAATTCTGACAGCAAGCCCAATTGGTGGATTTCCCAAGGTTAGTGTCGTCCTTATTGACCTATATTTATGGTTGCATGCAGTCATCAGTTACTATCAGCAGATAGGTGGACAAAATTATGCATCAATGGTGTTCCGGAGCTTACTATCCTTATATTTGTTAGATACAATGGCGTGCTCTTGATGAGATAAATGCTGGGGCATGTGACGGGATGACATATGAAGAGATCAAGAAGAACATGCCAGAGGAGTATGAGTATGTCATTGATTTGTAAACTTTCTATCCCTTCCTTAGACAAGCGCACATGCTCGCTTTTTAAGTTGGATGTGACTGATAAATCAGCAGAAGCACAGGGTAGGGACTTGTTAAGGGAGCACAATGATCTTCAAAATTTATTAAACAATTTCACGTTCCAATTGCAGATCTCGCAAGAAAGACAAGCTTAGGTATCGATATCCTCGTGGAGAATCTTATTTGGATGTTATTCAAAGGTCAGTATTGTACTTTTCATGTTAACTCAGATCCAAATTTCTACCTGTTTGATGTGACTCTTATCAGTTCTACTTGTAATGCAGGTTAGAGCCTGTGATTATTGAGCTTGAGAGACAACGTGCACCTGTTGTTGTAATATCTCACCAGGTTGTGCATCATATTAAATTTGCCTCTTAAGACATGGTCTCAATGTTTGACTGGTTGTAATACTTTTAATGTTCTCTGTTGGCTGTCTCATTGCAGGCAGTCTTGAGGGCATTATATGCTTACTTTGCTGACAGGCCTTTGAAAGAAATCCCACACATAGAGGTAACTAGTGGATTTACATAAAGTTCATTTGTAACTTATCTTTGTTCTCATTTGGAGAGTGCTTATATGAGATACTCTGTCCCGTTTTATTGCATGCAATCGTTTTTAAATTGAGAAATAAAAGAGGGTTGATGCATAGTTCTGAATTGGTAGAGAACATATAAATAGAGAAAATGAAGTATATAGTTGTCTGTGATTATATAAATGGAACGGAAATTCGTAATATCGCCCTACTCATGTATCATGACATAAGGATGTTAAAAATTTTGAAACTCACGACTTCATATTTGGACAAAGCTTGGAGTATCTTAGGATTTTGACATCAAATTATCTACAAAAACATGAGAAACTATTTTTAAAATATCAATTTTTCATGGTGACTTGTTAAAAATATTTATTTGTCATCTTACTTCTTGTGAATCATGAGGCTACTATCGTATCTAATGTGAGATTTGCTCATTGCAGGTACCCCTTCATACAATAATAGAGATACAAATGGGAGTTTCAGGTGTCCAAGAGAAACGATACAAACTAATGGACTGAAATGAGCAGATGAGCAGTTCTCTTGGTGACATGATCCGCTTATACATAAATTTTTCATTCTCCTGACTCCATTTGTTGCAAAAATTGATATTTGCAGAACCAGACATTATTCTAAATAACCATCATCATTCTCTTATCTGTTTTGACTTTGGTAACTCCTGCTTTTTAATACCAGAATAACCCGCCCTTGTAATGCTGGGGATATTGAAACTTTCGGAAAAGAAAATTTTTGGAGGATTAGAAAGTAAATGAAGTATATAATGTTGCATAATGCGATCTTAGGAACGATAATATCCAATAATAATCAGATAATTGGAAAAGCTAAAGAGAAATACTTGACTGCATGAGGTTTATCTGTGACGAGAATAGCGATAAAAGGAGATGAATAATTAAACAGATTCTTGGCGCACAAGACACTTTTCAAAGAAGCTTCCATAGATATTGATAATTTGTTTGGAAGATTAGATATTTCTGAGATCATATCCATGTCCTTTTTTCGGCTAGGAACAAGTAACACGGTTTTGGGATTGAGATCAGAAGCATGGGCAATGATGCAACCGGCAAGTGGCAATAAATGTATTCAAAGCAGCTAAGCTTCTCTGACAAAAATGGTGGGAAATAAAGGCAAGAAAAACGCAAGGCTGCATCTGTGTTTCAAACTCGTGCAATTCCTCTTGCCTACTACCAACCACATTTAATTTTTTTTTTTACAACAAATTATTTCTTTGTGCCTCAAGTATACTTTCTGGTTCTATTTATAAAATACTTCTAACATGTTTCACACAAATAAAGAAAAACATTAAATTGCATTAACTCTTCCATATTTAATATATACACCTTTCAAAAAAATAACTATATACACTATAATAACTGAAGGATAACATAATACATTCATGATAAAAATTTAACGAAGTGACCTATAAATAGGATAAAATTTTTTTCTCATTATGCCTTATAAATAGGACCAAATGAGTAGTCCAATTTTAACTTTTGTCCCCGAAGTAGTTTTCTTTATTCTTATTTTTGCAAAGCCCCCCTCCCCCAAAAAAAGCCCTGTTTAAAATTCTCATTGCATCTTGTACAAGTAAAAGTTAGGCAAGATTTTAAAAATGACAAATATTTTAAAAGATAAAAGTTATTATCAAACCTTCATCAGATTTTAAGAAAATAAGTATCAAGTTTTAAAGAAGCTATTATCGAAATATTTAAAATTATAACTTCTTTATTTAAATAAAAGCTTAGTAGCAAGATTATAAACTAGTTATTAGATATTGTTGCAATTTTTTTTTAAATTTTTGACTTACTAGTTTTTTTAAAAAAATTCTTTCTTTAGACACTATAATTATTTTTCTTTTCTTTTCTTTTCTTTTCTTTTTTTTGCTTACAGTAAATACTAAATTCTCTTAAGCACAAAAGGGAGACCTTTCCAATTAGATTTAATTTATATACAAAGGTTGGGAATTTAGTAGATATTGTTCTTTTTAGTAGATACAACAAAATTGGAAAAATTTAATTAAAACAATGTCTCTTTTGTTCTTTTTATAAAAAGGGATAGATAATTATTGTTAAATAATGATAATACAGTACATTTCCATTTTTGTGAACGAGGTTCTTCCTCTTATCCCCACCAAAAGGGATGCGTGTCACTTGCCGTATGAATGAAAATGACACTTGACACAAATTTTGAGTATACAATTTCCTTAAACTGGCTATTGTTTCTGTTACAACTTTAATTGATCAAAAAGAATTAACTCCCCCCCCCCCCAACAATCTAGTGATCTCATAGCCATGGAGTTTTTTTTTAAAAAGAATTATTCTACTCCCTACAATATGCATTCAAGAGAAGTAGTTGTTTCTCTTCTATGTTGAAAACTAACCCCATAAAAAATTGCGCAAAAAGGTTACTGGTGACAAATATATTCCATCGTTTTATTTACAGTCAAACCCCATTTGCTTCACCTTTCACAGTGCAGTTGCAGTATCAGTTACAACTGCGCAAGACAAGAGTAAGAGTATATATATTTTGCAGATAACAAAACCTCTCTCTCTCTCTCTGTGTCTGAACTTGAAAAAGAAAGCTATCGAAGTCAATGGCAGAAAACACAGAAAGGAAACCTTCATACAGTGTTATTATTGATAGCATTTCTACTCATAAATTTATCAAGTGAAGCCCTGCAAAGAGGACAACTAGGGTTTGCACTTAACCACATTTCTACACACTCTGAATGATAAGCATGCTCACATTCTGGCAAAACCTTCACCTTCCCACCTTCCTTTAACACATTCAGACATATGCAGCATTCTACATTTAGGTCTCCCACACTCTTATTCTCCACTGCTTCCATCTCAAACTTACCCCACTGAAGTTTAGCAGCAGGCGGTGCGGGAGAGGCCACAACAAGGTAGTGCCGGCGACACAAGTGGGCGAGAAGGAACAATGTGACGAGCAAAATGATAACGGAGAAGAAGAAAAGTAGGAGGAAGAAGGCATGGCTATATGAGTGCAAGTCTGAGTGATTTATGTCAATGAAACGCCATTGAAAGATGTGAAAATGATTATTTTCTGAGGCCATTGAGATGGGAAGCATAATGATGGTGAAGGTGAGAGTATGTGATGTGAAGAGAAGTGAAGGGTTGAGATAAAAAAAGAGAAGTTAGATAGGATATAAATAGAAGAGAGCCATGCATGGAATGGTCATAACAGGAGGTAGTTGCTTCATCATGGCATATTATGTGAGGTGGTTGTGAGCATTTGTTGCCATCTCTTTCGCCATAGATGTGAATGAATATATAGCACAGGAATTTCACACAGGAAACACAATTTTTCTGATTGAAAAAAAAAAGCATTATTATCTTCTTCTTCTTTTTTATTTAATATAATAGCGCACAAATATATCAGTATTTAACTTAAATTCGAGACCTCATCCAAACATGATAGGTGGTGTTGCACTGAGGACAACTAGCAGTTCACTTATCTTCTCCTATTTGAAATATGGTCTCTTGTCTTGATCTGATGGTAAGGAGAGAGAGAGCTTGAGTCTAACAATTGTATGGTACAATTTTTTTTTTTGAGTCAAAATTGTATGGTACAATATACATATTAGTGGTTGCATCAAGTCCTTTTCCCTCCTAATTCAACCGATAGACTATATTTCAAGCAAGAGAAGAAGATTGGAGAGGATTCCCATCATAGTGTCAATATAAAACATGAAAACTAAGACGTACCGTCCTATTCATAAAGTATACCATTCTATTACTATTGTAGCCTATTGTGGCATATTAAGAAATGCATTCAATTAATTAAATTTTTCACACTTGTCTTTATTAAAGAAAGGTGTTGGAAAAAATATTGTAATTTTCCTTCACCTATTTTTTTAAATTATATTCAATGGGGGAAAAATTAAAAAAATGCCATTAATTACTCTATGAGTGACTTATATTTAAAAAAAAAACTTTTCTTTTCCTATGAATAACTTACAAATAGGAATAGAATAGTAAATAGTACAACTTAATATTAAAGGTTAGGTCAAATGAAAGAGACTCAATTTTTCTTCTTCAAATCCCGTTAATTAAAAAAAAATCATATTGTGAAACCTATTTCTAATTGGAGTTGATGATGTTTGAATTTGATTCAGTAGTACTACTTCTGATTCTTAATATAAAAGTTAGATAACTAATTTAGAGAGATGAAGAAAATTAGTGAAGTTAGTTATTTGTAATAATGTGTGTTAACTTCCGTAAATCAATCTTATCCAATTATGTACATTGAAACTACACTCAGGTGGAAATACTTTACAATCAACAAGGATATTTTTGAAAACACATTATAAAGTTAGGAGACAATTATTTGGGGTCTTATATTTAGGACTACCAATTAACTCTTATATATTTAAGACGGGAGATAGTATCAGAGCTACTGGATATATCGATTCTGTATACACTTTGAAATGAACGAAAGTGATGATTCCTGGTTTGCTTTTGTTTTGCAATGCAAGGATTCACATAAATATGACTGGAAAATAAGGAAGGGTCTATACTTGTAGGTTATCACGGAGATGCTGTGGGATGCTATAGTGAATAGTGATAGCTTTTGGTGCAGTTGGTTTGTCCAATGAAGAAGTTCACGAGTTGAGAGGCTGACTGTTATGCCACAATTTTCAGGGACTGATCTGAGTCTGAAGAGTTCTCTGAGATTATTATCTTCATGGGAAATTTCAGTCTTTCTTGGAGCTTAATGGCTCACCAACTTCTCCTGTCTTTTTCTCTCTGTAATTTAATAAATATCTTATCAACCCTGCTCAGCTTTAAGGGTCCGCTTCCAATTCAGCTGATGAAGAGAGTTATTTGGAGTTATTTCTTTTTAACTCTTCCCCAAAAAAAAAACAAAAAGACATTTAAAAGATTCAAATTTGAACAGCTTCAGAAGCACCACATGCGTATGACCAAGAAGGCAAGAACAAAGAAACTCCCACCCACTCTCTTTTGCAAAGAAGAGTGTCAGTGGGTTATAATTCTTTTTGTGAAGTTACGGGTTTAAGCCTATTTGTGATTTTAAGCTTTTAGTAGCAGCCTCTTTAAATCCTTTTCTAAGTTTGATTAGTTGATTCATTTAAGGGAGATTGGGATAATGTGGTTGACATTGTGTGTGCGCGTGTATATATATTAATAGTGTTAATATAATATTTGTTTCAAGTTTTGAACCATAATTTTGGTCTTCAATAGGACAAAAGAGTTTAAGTTTTTATTAAATTATAAATATCGATATTTTAGGCGGCAATAAATTTAAGAGATCAAAATCTATGTTTTCAAATTTGATGAACCAAAATCAAAATAAAAATAAACTTGAGAGACCAAAATTATATTAACCTTTTTTTAATATATTAGGAGAGTTTGAACTCTAAACCTCTATCTATTTTGCATTCCACACTTACTACTTAAATTAGCTTGACATGACTTGACATTAATTTTTTTAATTTGAATTTCAAAATTTCAAATCAGTCTTGTTTATTATACTTTAATAACAATTGACAATATTTAAAAAGCAAACGAAAACACATTTTTGTAGTAATTTTTTATTTAAAAATTTGAAATTTTAGAGGCATTTTTTAAAAAAATTTCCATTTTAATACCTTATATTTTAGTCTAAGCATTACAAAATTACAAAACGAAGTACTACCTCCGGTCCTTAATATAAGACCCTGTTTGATTTTTATTTTGGTCCTAAATGTAAGACCCCAATCCACTTTATTTTTCATATTTATATATTTTTTTTCCAAAGTAGCTCTTCTAACAATGATAGTTTTAGTCAATACACTTGATTAGCAAGGATATTCTAGGAAAGAAAATATTTATTTAGGACAAATAACTAACTCAACTTACTTCCTTAATCTTCTCAAATTAGTCAACTGGTTTTTATAATTAGGACCAGAGGTAGTATGTTATTTTAACTTCCCACTTTTATATGCATAATATACACTATAATGCAGTTTACCAAAAAAGAATATATACTCTAATGCGAGACTTTTTCCCACTTTTTAAGTGTTGGCTTAATAATTTTATCGATTTCTTCATCAAGTACAACTCCATTATTTGCTTTGCACGCTTATGTATTCCCGATTTCTGATTATAGCAATTCACTCATAAGAAGAACTTTGTTTCTCTTTGATCTTCCATCTACTCGCAATACGTTTCTCTTTGTTTGGCCTTTCATCTATTTGAACACTCTCCAGACAGGCGCAACTTCCAAATTAAAAGATTAGAATCATACAAAATTTATAATAATAAAATTAATTATTACATAAAAATAGGGGTTGGATGCTTTTTTTTGGGACCCAACATCCCTTACTCTGAAATAATTTGTTTCAGATGTACCCAGAATTTTAAAACAATTTTTAAAGAATTCACGACCCTAAAATATTACCAACAATGATTGGATCTAACGGAAAGGCTAGTTCCTCACAGCATGATAGATCAAAATTCAGATTCTAGCTAAGAGAGATACTCCTATTTAATACTCAACAATTAATGTCTCAAACAGGATCACCTTCAATAAAAAAAATACATGTATTTAGATAAAAAGAAAAGATGGGTGCAGAGGAGGGAAGCCGGTTCAAGCTATGCGCGGCCAATCTTATTCCATTAAAGTCCATGCATTAATGCACCCCACTAGCCACATTTGTGAACTTTAATTAAAATGGTCCTTAATCAACCTTGAGTTTGATATTACATCTTAAGTTTATCTTTAAATTAAATTATAAATGTTTACATACTAAATACTAGTTATTTTTATGCCTTTATAAAGTTATATGAATAAATTAATCCCAAAACTTGTAAACATTAAATATGTAATACTCCTCCGGTCCTAAATGTAAGACCCTTATACTAGTGTGTATAAGGGTCTTACATTTAAGATCAGAGGAGTATAATGTATATAATTATTCGATCACTATGAAAATAATACATTAATAAAAGATAAAAAAATTAAATATGAAATTAGGTTTTTTTTTTAATGGAAACTGCCTACAACTTAAAGAGGAAAAATACAAGAAAAAGGCCAGAAACAAGGACTCCTAACCTTTTAATTCATTAAAATTAAGATAAAATCTAAAAAGGGTGAATTTTTTTTTTAAAATAGCGGGTCAATTTAGAGGTTAGACAAATTGACTTCCCCCCCCCCCCCCTAGTGAGATTAAACGGGATGAGCTAAATCGGCCTACCTTTAATTGGTTGAAATTTTTTTAGCTTGACTTGTTGATGGCTGACTCATCAAACTTAACCTATATTATTTTATACTTAAGAAATACTCTTCCAACTTTTAATGTAAGGCTTAATTAACTAATTTGAGAAAATTAAAAATATTAGTTAAATTAGTTAATATAAGTATATGATATATTTTTCTAAAATACTCTAATTATCTTCCTTGATCTCTTTCCCTTTGTCTTACGTAATTATTGTTGAGAGAATATCAATAAGATTAATTTTAAAAAAATTGATAGACATATGAAATAGATCTTAAATATAATATTAACATCAACTTTCAAATTAAGTCATATATTAAAGAGCAGAGGAATATTAACCTATATAAATAGATTTGTCAATATATCTTGTCATTCTTTATTTTTTTAAAAATCAATTATCATATTTGATGCTATCAAAATATGCAAGAAGGCATGGTGCTTCCTATTTAGTGATAAGGTTAATTGTCTCATTCCAACTAGTGGTTATGATCACCTTAATAATTCCTCTATGCCCAAATAATTTCCAAATTTTCAAAACAGAATAAATCTTTTTACCCCATCAATTGAATATTGGTTCAGTCTAGTTATAATAGAACTGTATGGCATGATCAAGAAGATTAATAAAAATAAATAGATGAGGAAAAATTGAATAATCTAAAAGAAAGAAATCAAATGAGATGGAGTGGAGTCATACAATCAACCCTTTATAATTTTTAAAAATTAATTATTTAATTTCTAAACTTTCAACTTCATCATAAATCAATTTCTAAAATTTAACTTACTTAACTTAGTTCTTTAGGTTGTAATTGTTTTATCCTATTATCTGACTAAATTAT